TATACTCATAGCTAAATTTTATGTCAAATCTGTGGAAGGGGGCGTGAAATTTAAGAAATGTTTTAAGGGGGGCGAAAGGTATAAAAGTTTGGGAACCTCTGGTATAGGAACGTTACAGGTCTCAATTACATGTTTTGAAAAAAACCTTTAATCCAAATGAATCTAGCCCAGCCACATGAGGCTGAGAGGTTAGGACCAGTTAATTAAGAATTAGCATTTACTGAACGAAATAACGAAAACATATTTTAGTTTCAACTTATCCTTATCTTCGTCATAGCACTTTGCAGAAGGCATGCACTGTTGTGATGTTGATAGTGGGTCAATTGAAAGGGAAACAGACTCAACGCAGTGGTCTGGTATTTCCTTCAGGTTGGCCCAGAGTGTCAAGATTATGTTTGCCATCGCAATCTTCATCACGTACGCGCTGCAATGCTACGTGCCTCTTGAGATCGTGTGGAACACGTACGTCAAGGACAGGCTGGTGGATGTCTCCAACAGGAGGAAAATGCTGGTAGAGTACGTCATGAGGACCTGCATCGTCATAGGGACGTGTAAGTAGTACCAACTGTGCAAAGTGAAATTTACCGAACTATTACCTAGTTCTTCGCCGTATTTATGTCCTGTGGGTATAATCTCCGTAATACCACTATATCCTTAAGTGAATTTATCAGTATTAAAATTTCGTAAAATAAATAATTTAAAATAAAGTCTGCTTAATTTTAGAGAAAATTCTTTCTGAAAATCGACATGTTTCATGAGCTAAATATAACACGACACTAGTAGTATTGAATTTAAATTTTTATAAAGTGAACCATCTAACTTATGTAAAATATAACCCGAAACGTCGTTACGCATTTCCACTATAATCACTGCTGCCAGTAGCAGTGTTATTTACTAAAAACTTTTATTGTAGTTCTCTGAAATCTTAAATCATGCTGGTTCTTGAAAAATTCGACGGCAAATTATATCTAACGTATCTCAATCCCTTGCCCAATTTATTCCCTTTTTTAATCACTTTGTTGCATTTATATCCTTACCTCATACCTCCCGTATTCTTTTCCGATATATTTTGGTTTGGAACAATAATTAAACATGCCAGACATACGACGTTATTCAAACGTTCTCGTCACCCACACAAAAAATAATTGTAACAGCTACCCAATGGTAACAGAGCGTCTTCCATCTAGCGTCATTTCTTAGAACTATTAGTCCTCTCTAATCGCAATCGGATATGGATTAATGCAAGCAACGAACGATCTGGGTTGTAGAGACTTAGTACAGATCTGATTTGCACTGAAAAATGTTTGCATTCTTCCTTTGTTTAACAGTCCTGCTAGCTGTGGCTATCCCACGCCTTGAGCTCTTCATATCTCTGTTCGGTGCGCTGTGTCTCTCCGCGCTTGGCATAACCTTCCCTGCAACTGTGGAGCTCTGCCTACTGTGGCCTTCAAAATGCTACGGCCGATTTTACTGGATCCTCGTCAAAGACATTCTGCTGATCGTATGCGGAATCCTGGGGCTTTTTATCGGAACATACACCAGTATCGCTAACATCGTCCAATCGTTTCTATAAACATGGCGTCTAGGAAGCTAACCTTAAATTATTCGAGTATAAACGGACTCGGACCAATTTCCTGTTTAGAATTACACTTATGATTAAGGATAATTTAGTTTTGTTTTTTTCAAGGTCATTGTGTAGGTTTATTATATTTAGTGATATACAGTGTTTATAATTTCCATCATTTCTGCCATCACAGGGCACGTGTTTAGTAAACAAACAAAATGAATGCATTGAGACCAGAAACTTCCTACTGGTGTTTTTTTCAAACAGGGCAATTCAGAAAGGTAATTCACTATACCAATAATTATCACTGTAAATGATAATCATTAATCCGTAAATGAGAGTAAATACAGCTACCGAAACGTCGTATGTTATCAGATATACTTCATACAATATTATATGTCCAACGTGATATGATATAACGATATTTTCTGAAGTCTATTTGTTATTAGATAAATTTGAATGGATTTTAACAATTTTTTTTTTTATATTCATACTCGCAGACTTCATGTTAGGGGGAGTTGCAGGCAGGTACTGCATATCAACCCCTACTGAAAACGAAATGTGTCATTTGTTCGTATTCTGTAAGAAGGTATATTAATAAAATGTGCCTACAGAACAGACCATTTTAAACATGACGTAATATATCCTATGTTGCCTAGATGATCCTAAAACCATGTTGAATATAGACAATTAGTATAATATATCGTATGAAACTAAATTAACGACGATTTAACTGTAGTCGAGTGTGAATTTTCACGTTTATAAATCTTGTTGACATGTGAGTAGATAGAGTTATGGAGGGACATACCGTTTTATAAAAACAGAACAGACGGACGAATATTAAGTCAGTTAAAAATTATAAGAAATACGTGATATACGTACACATAAAATAAATTTAACCAGGATGCAACGCGGTTAAAAATGTCGTTTTGTGTAGAACCTTTTTCTAAACAGCAATAAACAAATAAAATAACATTCCAGCTCAACCATAAACAAAGAAATGAGTACTTACCTCTTACGGCAACCACACAATTTTTCCGCAGAAGAAATGTCTCCAACATTCACAGGGCTCGAACTGGAATCTGACCAGACGTGAACCGTAATCGTCACAGACTGCTTGGAATACAAACTGCAAGTCTACAGCGGCGGAATGATACACACAACTATTACTGCTCTAGGTTTAATTTACGCATCCGCAAATTAAAAAAGATATTTCTGATATCGTAGTATTTGCCTTCCCAATTATAAACAGAAAATATTCCTCGAACGGGGAAAATTATTTCCCGAAATCAGATTAATGTAATTTTGTATTCCTTTTAGGAAATGAAAGGACTGTGACGTCATTGGCTGCGTTGTTAATCACGACAGGTACGTAAGCTAAGAGTGGGAGTCTTACTGTAGATTCTTTTAGCTGCAGTTGCCCAAGCTAACTATAAATCTCAAAAGTATGCAACTAGAGATGAATCTGAACCGAGGTAGCGATGTTCTGCTGAAAAGTGCTTAGAGAACTATAGCTACCCAGGCTGAATTTTGAGGTTAGTTCTCACGTTTCATTTAGTTGTAATTGTGATTCGTTTGCTGTGCCATAGATGGCAGCACGTGTCGATGTCGCGAAGAATTTCGTCACGACCTTCGGCTTCGGTTCGTAAACGTCATGTCTTCTTGTATTCCTAACCTCATCTCGATAAAAATGGCTTTGTTTCGGCTTTGAAACGTGCATCGGGAATCGGACTCACGACAATTAACTGCAGTTCTGAATATCCCATGTTCTCTTCCTGATCTCAAGGAATACAAATTCAAAATTGGCCGCAAATCGGTGCATCCGTACTCAAGCTACAAACGAACAAACACACGCAACTTTTGTGTTTCAAGGTTATGTCGTGAGTTTCGTCTTTAAAAGGGTTAAACGCACAAGCGAATAACAGCAACATAATTTAGTGATCTAGCACGTTAATATTACGTGCTGAAATGTTTCATGGACGGAAGTAACTTCCAAAAATGCTTTATATAGGCTCTCCTACTATTGACCTGTGCCTAAAATGGTTACACATGTTTATGCTAATTGTATCACGATGATTTAACAAAAAATAAATCGCAGAAACTTCATTTCTGGGAGAAAATGGAACTGAATCTCCTAGCCGACGGCTGTGACGAGTCGGTCATTCAGGAAACTCCTTTAACAGATAAACAGTGACTTTTATTGAACACGTATATAAATATGTACAACGTTAACATTCTTTACAGTATAATATATAAGCAAACAACAGCTGAGATTCAACTTCGCTCCTCACGAGACTACTTCACTAGCATTTTTAAATCGGAAGTCACACACGAGTGAGAAATGGTCAGAAGGGTAGCTGAAGGAGGGGACTCTGCCTTCCCCAATTTCCTCCCCCGTGGGAAAGTCTAGTACAGCCTCGACGGCCAAACCGTCTGTAGAGTAGAACACATAATCGATCGTATGACACACTTCTCCCTCCTCTCGGATCTTCCACGTGGTATAAGGCGGTTCTCTGAGTGCATCCTCGGGGCCGTCACCCGTGGACGCATACGCACTACCTAGGCGCAGGGCCTGGCAGCCCAGTAAGGTCACGTACACAGGTTCGCTGGGTTCTGCGTTGAAATCTCCGCAGATGATGACGGGACGGCCGCCGGAGTGCGCCGTCACGAAGTCGAGGAGGTCCTTGCCCTGTTCGTTGCGCAGAGTGGACAACAGAGCTCCATTGCGCGCTTTGAGGTGCGTCGTAGCCACACACAGCTCCTGGTCCGTCTCTCTGACCCTCAGCAGCATTATCACCGCAACCTGCGACACAACCGCGGAATTGCTTTCAGGAGCTCGGCAGCGTGGATTAAGGCTTTGACCGGGATGTTCTTTTGTTAAATCTTATGTGGTACCGCCTGATTCGACTTCTAATGGTTAAGTGAAGTGTTTTCTTCGCGGTACGGTCTGGATTCGTAAATATTATGAAGGGTTAATGAGAAAGTGACCCAACTAACTTTATACCCCTCCCCCATTTATAACAGTAGTGCCTATCGCTACTCCCCCCACTTTCTCTCTCTCTCTCTCTCTCTCTCTCTCTGAGAAAGTGAGGGGAGTAGCGATAGGCACCGGATTTAACTGGTGGGGGTTACGACTACGAAGGTTCCCAGGCAGGTATAAAGCTATAGCAAGCGGAGAACGTAGACGGATGACTAATGGAACCAGGAGGGAAGGCTGAAGAACATATGAAACGTCTTCATTAGAGAGATTAGCTGGTTAGGTTAGGTTAGGTTAGAGGACATAATTATCTTTATTCTGCGGTCCAGCGGTTAGAACGCTGGCCTTATAATCCTGGGGTCTCGGGTTCGAATTTATAACTTGTGTTGGGCAAGGCCGTGGTCTAGGCAACACGGAGTTTTCCTCCGTGGCATCCCAACAATTACTCCATTCACACACAGAAGAAGGCAATGGCAAACCACTTCTGGATCATCTGCCAAGAACGTATATGAACAGGTCCCAGTCCGAGAAAAGGATGGAAGGATCCTGTTCATATGGACCTGTCGTCAGACAGAACACTAAATAAAATAATAATAATTCTGTAAATCGCACGGCATACATACGTGGGAAAAAATGTTAAAAGATGGCGGTACATATATTTATCACTGCGTTTTAAAGAGTTAAAGCCTACGCAGCTGAAAGTCTGAGGTTTTTACTTCACAAACGAGTCTCTACACACCGAGTCATGTCAGTACGACCATCTGTATTAAAAAAAAAGGCCCCAAAACACTCATACTTTTGTTCAAGTCGATGTTATTTTTCGATTATTTTCCGTCGTTGAGGTTTTGTGGAGTCTTATCAGGCACGACAGGTTGATTCAGAATATTGAGATATTTGGTAGAAATCCATCGTAGCCGATATTCTTGTACAGTCCTCACACGAAACTGAAGAGGCGACAACGTAGCTGAGCTCGAACTGGGTTCCTCCCAATAGCAAGTCAGTCAGTGGGAGGGTCGGAGATACCGTGAAGAGACAGGACATACGGAAAGATAAATCAGCCCTTCCTTGTACATTATCCGATGTGAAATGACTACGTTTAGACTGTAGAAGTATCACGGTCTAAGTCTTACGCCTGCACTGCTGGTGTTTTATAATTGTTTTTGGTTAACAAAATACAATTAGGTGCAAAGGTCGGTTTGTGGAGATTAAAAGTGTAAAAGAAAACTCTTTCAAGTTCGCAAACTCTTCGCCGTCTGTCTTTCCGCGACGTAGACGAAGTTCGCAGATGTTGCGGTCAGTGCACTTCGTGCCATGCGAGTATCGTGTGATTACTACAAGCGACGACGAGCAAACGACCTTGTCCCCAGCTTTCGCAGCTTTTGCAAAGGAAAAGTAGTCATAACAGGAAAGGAACGACATAGAAATGCCCGGCGGCCACTAAGAGACAGACGAAACCTCCAGAAACAGTTCGCGATTTCTCACACTTCACTTTGAGCTCAAATAACGTTGTAAAAGAAACGTTTTTAATTTCTTTCATATGGGTATTAAGTTTCGTCAAATCAAGCAATTTACCTCACAATACTTCAAAGAAAACGTACCTCGAACGTAATTTTTGCTGTGTTAGCAACTCGAATATCGTTCATAATACGTGACTCTATAGACATTTATCGTGATTTTTCGAAGAAATTCGGTAATAGTTCTTCAAGCAGGCCAGCGACTGCTTTCTTAAATCTCCCACAACTCAAACTGATGAGGCATCATCGTTTAACAAAAAATCTATCTCAAACAGCAAAATATCATAACCTCAGCGACACACCTTTCAACTTACGAAATAACAAGATTTTCCATGTAAAATATCAGTCTTATAAAATACTTTTACGCGAATTCCGTGACACACGTCGCTGTCCACACACACTGACCTGGTTGCTCTGTACTCTCCAGACCTCAAGGACGCGCGTCTCAGTCTTCAGCAGCTCAAACTTTTCCTCCCTGAAGAAGATAGCGCAGCCATCTGGACCATTGTTTCCCTTTATGTAGAGGCATGGAGAATCGGGCTTCGGGAAGAACATCCCGTTGTAGCCCTGCGTACCCAGCACGGTTTTTAGAAAGTTGAAGTGATCCACTTCCTGTAAAAATTCAGTTCGTGACGTCAGCTGCTTCAACTCTTGAGATCAACGAGTCTTTTCGACAGTAACGTATCGATCGGTGGTTGGGAACTATAGACCGGTCAGTTTAACCTCGGTGGTTTGCAAGCAAATGGAGCACGTTATAGCAGGGTATCTAAGGCAAGTCTGGGAAAGGAGTGAGTGGTTATATGAGGGTCAACATGGGTTTAGACCAGGGTACTCATGCGAAAGTCAAGTAGTCACGGTTTGTCAAGATGTTGCTGATTCATTGGACGAGGGAATCAGGACTGATGCGGTTATAATAGATTTCTCAAAGGCATTCGATTTAGTCCCACACGATAGGCTGATTACAAAAATTGCTGCAACCGGTGTGGACTTGAGAGTAGTGTTATGGGTAAAGGAATTTCTCTTAGGACGTTCGCAAAGAGTAAGAGTGGAAGGACAGCTATCTCATGAAGTCAGGGTAACGTCAGGAGTGCCGCAAGGGAGCGTATTAGGTCCCTTGCTATTCCTAGCTTATGTTAATGATATTTGGAAAAACATTGATTCAAATATACGGCTTTTCGCTGATGATTGTATAGTATACAGGAAAATAATGGATAGTAGTGACATTGATAAGTTACAGACAGATATGAATAGATTATGGGAATGGGCGGTAGAAAATGAAATGAAGATAAATCCAGGTAAAAGTAAAGCAGTCAGCTTCAATAGAGCTAGGGTGAAGGATAAGCTGAGTTACTTTTTTGGGGATCAATTAATTCCAGAGGCAAATAGCTTTAAGTACTTAGGAATACTTATTCGCAGTGATCTGAGCTGGGCAGATCATGTGAATTATACACTAATTAAAGCATGGAAGGCTCTCCATTTCGTAATGCGTATACTAAAAAAGGGAAATAACAATACGAAACGTTTAGCTTATACGTCGCTAGTGAGACCGATACTTGAATATGGAGCTGTGTGTTGGGACCCTTACAGGGAAGGACAGGTAAGAGCACTAAATCGGGTGCAGAAGAGAGCGGCTAAATTTGCTAATTTCACGAACGAATCTGGTTGGGAAACATTGGCACAGCGTAGATTGATAGCCCGAATGTGCGCCCTTTTCAAAGCATACACGGGGGGCCGGGCTTGGAAAATGATAGAGGATAGATTATTAAAGCCATGCTACCTGGGCAGGGACGATCATACTCGGAAAATTAGGACTAGGAAACAAAGAACGGATGTAGGCAAATATTCCTTTGTAAATAGGACCATAAGAAGCTGGAACCAATTACCTCCAGGCGTGCTAGAGTCTTTCCCCTGTAAATTAGGCACCTTTAGAAAGAGGGTCAGAAAAGTAGTTACAAGCTAAGGGTTATTAAGTTGGGAATAAATGGTGATAAGTGAAGTGAAGTGTCTTAGTCTCCAAGTGATGAAGGGCTGTAGTTCTTTGGGATAAAATTTTCATGTACTGAGAGCGGACTTTATATTCCACTCTTAAGTATTGTGATTAATTAGTGGATGTGTGTTTTTTTATTGTGTGTCAGATGTTTTATTTTGAGTGTGGTATGTTGTATTGTTGTGTCTCATTGTATTGTTGTGTGAGTGCATCAGTTCATGACGTTTGTAATACATTACAGTTATTGTCTTATGTCTAGGTGGTATTAAGTTCTTTTTTTTAAGTTAAGTACTTGAGGTTGGATGGTTTTGTAATTTATGAGTTGGTTGATTTTGAGTGGGATGTGTTGTTTTTGTTGTGTCCTTTTTTATTGTTTTGTTCTGTCTCATTGTTTTGTATGTTATTGTAGGACACTGCCACCGGGTATAAACCCATTTGCAGTCAATAATAAATAATAATAATAGACTTCTCAGTCCCTCGATACTTCTTAAAACGTTTGTCGACATAATAATGGCTAACAGACGTGAAAGGCGAAAACACCAACGTTTCGAGTAACATCTTTGTCCTCGTCCTCAGGGTAGTGACACGACTGATAGCCCAACAACGACCTAGTGATGTACCGAGAAGGACACGTATGCAATGTCAGAGCACACTTTTAATACCATGCTCCTTGTAATGACAATTCTTTTAAGTACACTGTCGATAACATAATTAAATCATTAAAAATACCTCTTAGATGATATGAAAGATATCGTGAGCTAATTAAATGTACTATCCCTGCATTTTAGATGGTATAAATAAAACCACGAAACCAGTCTCCGGGCCGTGATCTGAATCCAGGATTCGCCAAATTTGAAAGAGTGGTGGTCAATCTGTCACATTAGATATGCCTCCGAAACGTCGATAAACATCGACCATACTACGCGGCGCAACAACCCAGAATACAGAAACCTTCATATTAATTACATCTTACGTCAGAGTTTACATAAACAACACGTCTAAGAATAACAAGACACAGAGCAAGGAATCAGAGAAAAATACGAATTGCTATAGACGACTAAAATATTAGAAATCTCGTAGCTCAGAAGAATCGGACATAAGGAATTGAAATACGACACCGCAGAAGACCTAAACGTACAGGGGAAGAGTTCAAAATCATAAGAGGAGACGAGGTACCTGAAGGCAAACGATGTCTGGGCAGTATTCGACGATCTCCTCGATGATGTGGTACCGCCTGAACCGCCACTCCAAGGCTGCGTCCGGACAACACACAAAGTTGTCGTTCATCTGACCTAGGGCTGGAACAAACAACCGACTAAGGCTGTAGTCACAGTGGCACCGATATCGGTCGTCAGATTATCATCGGCCGACGTCTGCTATAATCGGCCGATGAGATCGGTTGCACTGACCCCACGCACGTGCCTTCCAACAGGTTTAAAAAGATCGGGCGAGTTCGGCCGAAGTCGGGCGTCGGCCGAATCGACCGATGTCGGTGCCACTGTACTTCAGTAGCCGCGAAGTCAGTCTGACGGGATCTTACAGCGCATGCGCACTCTGCCTATTCCAAAACATTGTACTCTATTAATTTCTAGCATTGCAGCTGCATTGTGTATACGAAGTTTTATGAAAGAACGAATCGTAGCCGTTCATGACCACCCTACCTCCAAAAAACTTCTCTTGGCACGCCAACAATACCTCCCATCTACTTCTAGATCTCTCATGCGGTGTCCCCCATCAGGTTTTTTCAAATTTCGTTCCCATTTCTCCCCCCATACGTGCTACGAGGTGCGATCGGAAAGTTTCAAGACTGCGCCTATAAAAACCCGTACACTTATCTCAGGTATTAAATTCATCCATCACCCTCGAAGTAGTTCCCCTGGGAGTGAAC